TAAAAACTCAAATTAATTCGCGGTCTCTATTAGTTCGCGCACCCATTTTATTTTCGAACGCTAATTTTTAAATGTATCCTTTTAATTCGCGGCGTTCAAAAACATGTTTAAAATTGTATCCTATTAATTTGCGGGCCAGAATAAAGTAGATAACTCAGAATATATTGCATGAAGACATTAAAAATATACATATAATTTTATGTTATCAGTACTTGGTGTCGCCGCAATCGCAGATGATCTCCATCATCACAGCCTTTCAGTTAGCAAGCAGTTTAGGTTCGGTAAAGATTTGACGTGAAAAAAATCATTCCCCCACGTCACTACAGATGTTGGGCAAGATTATTACGTAGTCGATAAATATCCATCGGTCAGCACATCGATTACGAATTTCCGTGATGGAAAGCTTAGTACGAGGCTTTTTCATCGCTGGTCCACAGGGTTGCATCGACCATGTGCCCACCATTCTATTACGTCATTTAAGTGAACCGCCCTATGGTGCGTAAATTGACATTTTTGATTGGTCGGGCGTTTGACCTCGTGTTACATTTTCACAGTTAAAAAACACAGTTAAGCGGTTATGTACCTTCTATAAATCTAACCTTGCACACATAATCTTGTACTGATGTGTTTTTTGTCCAAGAAAGACGTTCCCTTTCATTTAACCCCCAGTTAACTCTTCACGTCCACGGTATTTGTGAGAGTTAAAAGATTTTTCGAACAAATGACAAGTAACTATATTGATTTGCGTCAAGCTGGGTGGCCCGAATTTAAATATCAGCGCATGAACCAAACGCATGGTTAATAGAGTTCAGTCGAAATGTACGTGAATAATGCGATCGAAGTCCGCTGCCCAGAGTTTATTATTAGTCCCCGTTCGGACGCAGTCCGAAAACGGGGACTTATGTTTTGCCCTGTGTGCGTCCGTGCGTCCGTGATCACCTGTATCTCGAACATGCATGGACCGATTAAGTTCAAACTTCACTCATACATCACACATTATATGGGACATATGCACATGCATTTTTTTCATGATCCGATTAACGATAGCCGAATAGCGGCCATTTTAAGGCCGAAAATGCATCAAAATCGCACATTTTCACCATTCCGGACCCGGATCTCAGTTATGCATGGACGGATTTTGTTCAAATTTGGTACATACATTAAACATAATAGGACCTTGATGCACGTCATTTTTTTTTTTGGATCGGGTTCGAAATGGCCGACTGGCGGCCATTTTGTTTTAAAGAATTCAGTTCTGGATCCGTATCTGAGACATGCTTGGATTGATCGAGTTCAAACTTCACACACACAAGATACATCATGTCACAAATATGTATGTGCATTTGTTTCATGATCTCATTAACGATAGCCAAATGGCAGCCGCTTTAAGGCCGAAAATGCATTGAAATCGCACATTTTCACCATTCCGGACCCGGATCTCA